CACACACACACACACACACACACACACACACACACACACACACACACACACACACAGGTGAGTGAGTGAGTGTGTGAGTGTGTGTGTAAAAGGTAAATGAAGTTTGCAGCTCGACAGGATTCATCTCCTTCCTTTGAGTGATCTTGAGAATTCAATTTCCAGCTCTTGACACCCTAGTTTTTCTGAGCTGGTTTAAAAAATGTTTGGCACAATTTCTCAGTTCTGCAAAGGAGTGGGAAAAGAAGCCAGAGACAGAAAAAGAAAAACGTTAGCTCTGGGAAAATATTACTTTTTCTGCATGAAATGCCGGAGGTAGGAACTACAAACACACCATCACACGTAACCCAGCCATAATACAGTGTTAAACTGTGTGAACGATTGCATCATGAAGAGGGGAATCTTTATCTAGACGGCTTAACTGTTAGGCCCCAAGCCTGTTTTTCAGGTTTCAGGCTCGAACATGACATTCCCAGAACAAATGACCATATCTTCCCTTCTAAAAGGGTTAAATTAATAATCTTTTTTCTCAAAGTAATAATAAACCTGTGAGTTGGATGTAGAAAAGTCAGAATCAATATAGATGTTTTTTATTTTAAAGAAAATTCAGATTGAACATGGTAAAAAACTGTAAATTATAGTGTCCGTCCAAAGAATATTTTGTAGGCTACTTATAGTGAAAACTAACCTTGGATGATGGGTTAGTAGAATAAAAGCTTTAGGAATCCGAAGTACAACAGATAATAAGTACCTTGTATCAAGATTGATACAAAACAAGTGATATTTGACCTTTTTTAGACAGATTTAGCAAAAAAAACACTCTTCTTGGGCCATTTGGGTGGATTTTCCGTATCTCTGGCCCCCCTTGCTCGATTTTGACATGTGACATCTCTTCCTGACCATTAGAGCCAATATAATTGAAGGGAAATCGTCCCATAGACTCTCATGTTAAAAAAAAAAGTAGCGTCTTTCGCATGCAATCTTCTGCAGAGCGTAGGAATATCCCTGCTCTGATATCTTGAAACGGAAAAGCAGTTTTATTGCATATGGATTATCAGAACATTTCAAAGGGGACACAGACACATTGGATTAACCTATGGATTAACCACACCATCGTTTTTATCGTTTTAATGCCATTGAAGACTAGTTTTGACCAGACAAAGACCAAGGTAAGCCATGTTAGCTTTTTTGGCTACCTAGCGCGACATGTTTTGATGTAGGTTTTTGTTATTTTCTCCGTGAATTTGTAATCTTTGAGTGTTGGGGTGGGTACCAATAAATTATGTGTCTCCTTACGATCATAAACGATGTGTTCGATGTGCAGCTAGGATAAGTAATAAGGGTGCTAGGAGTAATTTCCGGTGCAGTAATAGGTTAGCATTTTTCGCTCGGGGCTAATTCAGAGGGTCAGTGTTAGCATTTAGAGTTTTTTTTTGAAAAATCAGTTAAATTAGTTTTTTTTTTTCCGTTATATGGATATAAAACATTCATAGTTTATTAAATATGAAGGTTCCTTAGAAGTTGTTTCCTTCAAATGACGCGATTTCGGCCCCGGATACAGGTCCGTGGGGCTTACAAAGTTGCATAAAACAACGTTTTTGTTATTACTTTATTTTCTTTCAGCTTTTAATGGGTACAAAGTGATTTTATAGCTATCTCTTATTCCATCCTGTGGCCATAGATTCTGGGATGGCTGCTGATCGCCTCCATCATGTTGTCCAACCTGCTAATGATCTGCATGGCTCGGTGCACATCCCCCATCAGCTACCTGCAGCTCAAGTTCTGGAGAACGTATGTTCAAGAGGAGAGCAACCTGATGGATTCATACAGCTCTAAACACGCCAAAGAGCTCGCTGAGAGGAACCTGAAGAGCTTCTTCAACCAACAACCGCCTGAAAACATCAGCACACCTTCCAACAGGGCCTGGAAAAAGATCTCCTCGCTCTACAAGTTCAGCACCAAAGACCATTACTACAGCACCATTCACCGCTATGTGGAGGAAAGTTGTGACAATGACTTGATGAAGATCGCTTCGGTCAAGTCCAGCGGGACTGCTGACAACATCCCAGCTGCTCTTAGTTTTGTAGACGATGTCAGGATGGCGTAGTAACAAACATTTTCAGCACCAAAGCCCATCTGCAGGGTTACACCAGCTGAGGGATCCTGCTGAACATGATGTCAGTGAACTGCTTATAGTTTATAGTGCCAAAGAATATGCTCTAATAGTCATCATCAACATCTCCATCATCATCATCATCATCATCATCATCATCATCATCATGGAATGTGAATGTTTCATCCACATTTATAAAAAACCCAAATTGTTGAGAACAATAAGGACACCTGGTTTTAAGTCAAACTCAATAAAGGAATATGCTATAGATGTAGAAATATAGATACATGAACAGCAGCACAGTCAGGCAGAGTGTAAAGCAAGAGATTTGTGTGAGCTTTATAGAACAGGAAATGTGTCAACCTCACCACTGGACCACTTCCTGTTCTTCGCTTGCAGAATAAGCACGTGGCTGGGAAGTGGGCATCTACCAATCATTATGTCGATGGCTCAATCCCTAGCCCCTGAAGTCCACTTAAGGCCAGCGGTGTGTGTGTGTGTGTGTGTGTGTGTGTGTGTGTGTGTGTGTGTGTGTGTGTGTGTGTGTGTGTGTGTGTGTGTGTGTGTGTGTGTGTGTGTATGGCAGCCTCTGCCTCTGTATGAATCTGAATGGGTTAAAGCTACATTATGTAAAAGTGCTGAAATGGGTCACAAAGAGTGGAAAGTCTATTTAAATGCAGTCAATTTAAAGAGACCCAGGTGGGGTTTTACCTTTCCTGTAGTTACATAGGTTTCTGTGCATGTTAATGGTAAAATCCCTGTGATCTAGATGGAGTTTTTCTCCCAAACAGTCCCTCCTCGCCCCCTCCCCCCTGCCTGAAATGCCTTCATTGGACTACTTGTTTACTTAGGTTACATAATGACATCACTATGTAACATTTGTGCTTATATTGGCAAGTGCTCCAACACATTGACCAATCCCAACAGAGCTGGCCAGCTAACCAATCAGAGCAGACTGGGCTCTGGTTTCAGACAGAGGGTAAAAAGGTGCTGCAGCACAGGAAGTATGAGAACAATAAAGAGCTCTTTGAACATGAAAGCGTGGAGACATGTCACAGTAGAGGCACAAAATACATATGAACCTGAAAGTGAGCGTAATAGAGCCCCTTTAACAAAAATGCATGTTACATACATTACATCATGTCACTTGTTAGACGCTTTTATCCAAAGCGACTTACATACTCAATACTGTGGACAATCCCCACAGGAGCAATTTGGGGTGAAGTGTCTG